ACTTTTTGTTATAAGAAACAAAACAACCATAAGAAGTCCAGATAGGGTTTATTTAATTACACGTGGAAGATTATCAACCATGTCAAAGACGTATAGATCTCTTAAAGCCAAGAGATAAGTATCCCATTCTGGTTGTCACAAGCAATATTTTGTTTTTGTCCGTGTAATAGCTATATCTTCAAATTCATATTGTAATTAATCTGTTTGTGCTAAAAAGAATTTGGTCGACTTTCATAATACATCTTACACTCTGTTTCATTCGTATAAAACCTACAAGAGATAACCGACTCGAAAGATATACATGTATACAAAAACTCTTTTTAGAATGTACTCTATTTTCTATCTCAATACCCCTCTCAGAACCCACTTTAATTATCACTTTTTTACTTGTTTTCTGTCAAGTATCGTGTTTTATTTTATTTACTTGAGCGTCAGAAAATCTTTAAAATATTGGTGTGGTGATTTCCAGACTTCTACATGTTTGTGGTTGTTGCATAAGTTTTTTCCTCTAGTTGCTGGATCCCCTGGATTAAACAAATATCCAATTACAGTACAGTATCCTGCTAAGCAAAAAAGAAGAGCAATATTCACTATTTTTTTTGACCAAAAGAGCAATATATTCAATATTCTGCAAAAAAAAAAAAGGAATTGTTGGAATTACTATTTTCCACTATAAAAATCATACAAAATTAGATATTTAAATGAACTATCATTAAATTCATGTAAGAAATATTAATGCTCTTAATTCATGCAACCAGATTGTTTACATACATATAGTATGCTTCCACATATACACTCACATATGTAACAGAAAGATGCATAGACTGTTCCGGTGTGGGGTTAGAATTGGGAGACAGGGTACGGGAGGACTATCTCTAGCCCTATGATGGAAATCATAATTATTCTGTTTTGTGACATTTTGGAAAGTGATGTAGAGAGCATTATGCGAGGAGCACGTGCATGGATGATGATGAAGATGATGATGCATGTGCTGCTGTGGATATCCATGTGTTATGTGTATTAATTACATATGACTTGATATTCATAAACAAGTTTGGCATTGTTCTTTTTTTTATGTATGTAATGTAACCACAACACCTAAACGTAAAAACATTAACACCAAGTTTCACCTTCATGGAAAACCACCAACTAAACCGAGTGAGATCATTAAGGCTTGTTCCACTATTGTCGTGTGAGAGTTTAGTCATGATTCATTAATCATCATCATCATTAATATAAACACAGAGAGAAACACAGACACATACATACACGTGCATATACAGTTTATTACTAGAGCGTGCTATATGTAGGAATCGTGAAATTTGAATTTATTTAATCTAACTAGTAGTATTGTTTTATCAGGATTACCGGGAAAATAGTGGCCATTAATGCGTTTATATTCTTCCTTTTAAAAGAAAAACATAATGCGTTAATCTTAAGGAATAGTGTTTGAGATTAAAATACAATTAAGGACCCACGAGATGTTAATTTTTGTCGTTTTGTAGATATTTTTATTTTTTTGGAATATAGCTTAGTGAGAGCCAAGTAGGATGGAAGAGGACAAAAAATTTAAGTACAAAAATATTTAATAGAACAGAAAAAAACAAAAGTAAATAAGACGGAAATGACCAAATTTATATACATTAAAAAGAAATTGGATGGGGTAGTCTTTCCCTTTGTTAAGATGCCAGTGGAAAAGAGAATCATCCAGTCTCTCCACGCTTTTTATTGGTTCCCAATATTGATTCAATGTTTGATCTATTTAAAGTAAATCTTTCATTCATAGAAATTAGAAAGGTAAGAAAACTGTAACTATTTCCTTTACAAAAATTCGTACACTTAATCAACTGGTTCGTCGAAACTTTAATATATGGGTCCTTGATTTATGACGTGCGTGTAATTTGTTGTTATAGAAGGAGAAAAAAAAAAGTTTCGGGAGTGATAATCATCACTACCGATCAATTTCTTGTTTTTGGATACCATCACTATTGACCATTTTATAAAAAAAAATGTATGTATCTTTTTATATACATAGTACTGATTGTCAAATTTGTCTTTAAATTGATCAAGGGATAGATATATATAAGGTTGTCATTTAGTGAGAAGCCAAAAACAGTAGAGGCTTAATTAAATAGGCCGCGAAAAGGCAAGTGGTGTTAGGAAATTTGGTCATTACACAACTGTAATTGTATTACTGTATATATAAGACTAGAACAACAAACGATTTTAATTTGAACAAAACTGTACAAAATATTAATTTGGAAATATCTTTTGTTAATAATAGATACAAAACAAATGCACGTGTGTTATATACATCAATGTTTAGATGTCGTTTATGTTTTTCTAATAAAATCTTGCCTTTGCCATCTAAATTTGTAGAATCCAACTTAACAAAAATCCATACCCTCGAGTCTACATGAATCTAGATGTCACCATGTAACACATACATCTATATTTTGTGGGATAGTCGTTCGAGATGATCCATTTACTGGGGAATCTACATAACTAATAAGGCTTGGACAATCTCAGCCTTTGACACGTGGCACTCTCTTTTTTTTTTTTTTTCGCCTAACACCAAAACGACGTCGTTTTGGCTTTATTTTTTTTTTTTTTTCGTCTTACACCAAAACGACGTCGTTTTGCGCTTTATCTTTTTTTTTTCGTCTTACACCAAAACGACGTCGTTTTCGTAAAAAAAAAAAAAAAATCTAAATCAAAATTATGTGTAATGCTGTTCGTTTTGATGGGCTTGATTATTTATCGGACCTCTTCGTTTCCATGGTAGCTTTAAATGGGCTTACTGGCTAATTAGCTCATTTCATTTCCTTTTAAAAAGGATTGCAATTATTATTATCTATGAGTCTGTAGGATAATAATCAATCTATAATGATTGTTAGTATAAGGAAAATTAGAAGAACTCAACTCCAGTCGATAAATTATTGTATAAAAGAACAAAAAACATATGAAACTATTCACTATGAGTCTATATAAGATTTCACGTAAATAACAACTAAATTTTAAAACTATATGAAAAAAAACAAAATGCAAAACTTACAGAATCTAATATATTCGAGTAAAAAACAAATGATATATTCGAATCTAATGTTCTGAATAATTAAATTAAAAATATTTGGTTTAATAAACCCGCGCATTGCGCGGGTTCTCTCCTAGTATGAGATAATTAACGGTAACGAATTTACAAATTAAATTAATTAATGGTGAAGTTATAATATAGACTATGTGACAATCTTAAATAAGTTTAAATCTTTACTGAAAATTTTAGAATATGAAATCGGTCTCTTTAGATTGGCCAGCTTACCTAACTCTCAAATTTGGATCCTCTCAACAAAAATAATGAGGCGTATTCATAGAGTTCATCTCATGATTTGGATAGAGATTCAAATTATTGGATCGGATATAAGGCAAGGACTCGGTCTGCATACTTGATGAAACGTAACGGTCCAGTGTTGACATGTTTCTCTTATATATATCCGACTACACTCCTTGCCTCAAAATAGAACTTGAATGTTATCATGATCGTACCGCTGCATATTTACCAGAGAATGTGAGGGTTCGACACATCAATAAAACTTGATTCGTTAACGGCCAAGCGTAATGGTTAGTTTGCTAATTCTTTTAATCAATCATATTATCAAACATTAATTCCACATTTAGTTATATGATAGGAGTGACGAGCGTTTTTTTTTTATAGTTCTTCTAATGTTGGTTGTTATACTGCATAGAAATGGAAACGCATAAAGCGAAATGAACGGAAATGAATAAACAAAACGTTTCTAAAACGAAAAATGTTTATTTTTAAAACTATAATATTGAAAATGTTTTGGAAACATACACATACATATATACAACGAATTTTCCTTTTGGAAACGTTTTTGAAACAAGAAATAATTCATGTGGAATTTACAAGCAACCTAGGTTGTCACTCTTCATTCGGTTCCTCCGTAGTATTTTTATGTTCAATCAAATATTAAAAAAAAAAACTCAAAGTATTTCATGCGAAAATGTTTCCATTTTTCCTGGTTGGAAAATTTAAAGAAGATAAGCTATTTTATTCTTTGCTGTAGTTAGCTAGATATTGTTTGTAGAGGACAACATTGGCCCTTTCTATTTTTGTTCCTTCTTTTGTCCGAGCCAAAAACACTCCTCTTTATGTCTCCTCCTTTTACAATTATTATTCAATCAATCAAAACTAATTTGACCACAATCGCAGGAAAAACAAAAAGTAATATGTGGTGGGAAAAAATTTATACACATTGTTGTGTATGTAACTTTCTTAGTATTTGGTTTGAAAGGAAGAATTTTAGATTTTTTTTTTTGACAATAATTGAAGAAAATCAGGAAGTGTCATCAAGAACTGTTGGATATACGTATTCCAATGACCAAGGAAATAACCAAATCAACAAAACAAAAAACAAATAATTAGACAACAATTTTGTTGTCTCTTTCTTTCTTTTGCATAGTTTGACTAACCGTGCAAGGCCTAAACCCCATCTCATCACCTCTTCACATTAATATCAGTTTCTTAAAATTCATAGATTTTCGTTATTTTTTAAAAGTAAATCCAAATGTTTTAACTTCTAGATATGAAGACAATATATCACAATACCTCAACTTCATTTGGAAATATACATAGTTGGACAACCCATCTTGTGAATATCTTATCTTGCATAAATCAAAGAACAGATAATATTTTCTTTTGTCTAAAAAAACAAATAATCTTTTTTTTTTCTTACAAAAGAAGGAAATGGCGGGACCTCCATAATATTTCTAGAGGTTTGGTTTGTTCGTATTGAAATAATCGAATAAACTAGTCGAGTAACCAATACGAATACAGAGCTCTAACATATGCTTTTGCCTCCTCTTGATCTTAACTCAACCACTATAAATAAACTCTCCAACTCTTCCAATCTATTCCACAACCAAATATCAAACATCTCATAAGAAAAATACACAAACAACAATTTTCTTGCAAGAACAAGATGCCTACAACGTTAACAGATGTCTTTAGAGGCCATCCCATTCACCTCCCACACTCTCACCAACCTGACTTCACATCCCTCCGTGAGCTCCCGGATTCTTACACGTGGACCCCCAAAGACGATCTCCTCTTCGCCGCCGCTCCTTCCCCTCCGGCCACCGGTGAAAACATTCCTCTCATCGACCTCAACCACCCCGACGCGGCCAGCCAAATCGGCAGTGCATGTAGAACTTGGGGTGCGTTCCAGATCGCAAACCATGGCGTGCCTTTGGAACTTCTCCAAGGCATCGAGTTTCTCACCGGTAGTCTTTTCCGGCTACCTGTCAAACGCAAGCTTAAGGCGGCTCGGTCGGAGACAGGTGTCTCCGGCTACGGCGTCGCTCGTATCTCATCTTTCTTCAATAAGCAAATGTGGTCCGAAGGTTTCACCATCACCGGTTCCCCACTCAACGATTTCCGTAAACTTTGGCCCCAACTTCACCTCAACTACTGGTATATATCGAAATACAATCTTATCTATTTCTTGTTCTTTTAAAATAGTATACTACTAATTGACAAACGCACACTTTCGGATTTAAACCTGAAATATGACACAGTAGTACAAATAAGCAAAGTTACAAACTGGGATATTTGTTTATTTATAGTTTTTGTATCGTGTACATACCATATTGGTTGGGGTAATAACAGGGAGCATGAATAACAGAAGCAACAGAAAACTTGCCATGTCATTGAAGTTTAGTGAGATTAAGAGTTATTAAGAGTTATTAACTTATTATACTTTTATGAGTTAAGAGCATAATGAAAATCTAGTGAAGTGGACCACCTCAAGATTTGAAGATAGATTTCTTTTAATCGTATCGGAGAAAACAAAAACCCCAACTTGCTTACCGATTTTCTTTATCTATTTATTCAAAAGGTCGACCAAATTGTGCATAAATCTCATCTGTACTAATTCATGGATAACATTCGTTTTTTTTTAATTAACAGCGACCTCGTTGAAGAGTACGAGGAACAAATGCAAAAGTTGGCATCGAAGTTGATGTGGTTAGCACTAAACTCACTTGGCGTTAGCGAAGAAGACATTAAATGGGCCAGTGTCAATTCAGATTTAAACTGGGCCCAGTCTGCTCTCCAGCTAAATCACTACCCGGTTTGTCCTGAACCGGACCGGGCTATGGGTCTAGCCGCCCATACCGACTCTACTCTCCTAACCATTCTCTACCAGAACAATACCGCCGGTCTACAACTATTTCGTGATGATCTTGGTTGGGTCACCGTGCCGCCGGTTCCAGGCTCGCTCGTGGTCAACGTTGGTGACCTCTTCCACATCCTATCCAACGGATTGTTTAAAAGCGTGCTTCACCGCGCTCGAGTAAACCAAACCAAATCCCGGTTATCTGTGGCTTTCCTTTGGGGTCCACTGTCTGATATCAAGATTTCACCTGTACCAAAGCTGGTTAGTCCTGTTGAGTCGCCTCTATACCAATCGGTCACATGGAAAGAGTATCTTCGAACAAAAGCAGTTCACTTCAATAAAGCTCTGTCAATGATTAGAAATCACGTAGAAGAATAATTCCTGAGATAATAATAAGGGATATTAGTGCTCGGCTAATTTAAATGTATTAATAAATCCTAATATCATTGTTTTTGTCCTTGATTGTATTACATTTCATATACATAAATTGTAATTCCCTCTGCCCAACAACAAAATCTTGGACTTGCTGGAATCGTCCCATGACATGTTCCACTACCGAGAGTCTCATTAAAATATATATTTTTGTTGCAATTATGCGTTGAGTGACCCAAGAAATTATATGATTGAAACGCTAAAAGTTATATTTTAGAGCATCAAGGACAAACTACACGGTGTTATTTTCAGAATGTCACATAATTCATCTTGTTTGATTGCTATTTGTCACTTGTCAGATTGTCTTAAAATAAAAATGACAGTGCACATCTAAGGTCTACTAGAAAAAAGAAAACGAAAATGACCAAAAACAAATACGTTATATTATCTTATCTTAATCTTAGAAACAATATCTGCTGTCTCGATGAGTGCAGACGAATATGGCCCATGTTTATGGAGTTTTTCGTCTTGTTTTGTTGTTATTGATTAGAAAATAAATCAAATAATTACCACAAGTTCTAAACTGCAAGCAAAGCTAAAAAAAGGGAGAGAGAGTAAATGTAACTATTATTAGTTAAGGCCCATGACAATATAACAGGCCCATCACAGATTCTATCAAGTTTTTTTATTAACAAGATCACAAGTGATACACTTTGGTTGGGAATGATCAGGTTTTGTGTAAGATTGTGATTAAGGATCATACGCTTGTTGGATGCCACAATAGACTTTGGTCATGGTACGGTGAGCCTTGAGATGAACCTCTAATGTTTCATAGAAATCAAGAAGTCCGTCATGGTGAAAGGGCTTGTATGCTAAAGGATGGTCCTTGTCCACCATCTCCTCTGGTGTCGATATCATTCCTTGTTGGAACGAGAAGAAACCAAATGAATACCTCACTTCCACGCTCTCCATCTCCACCTTGTGATAACACGCTTTGATTCTGTCGTTGCTCCACGCCTGATGATGATTTATATGCGCACAACATGATTATTTGGTACGTCATATGAAACATGAAATGGGTTTGATAAAAGCTAAGATTATAATATATACCATGATGGCGTCGCCTGCTATAACAGCAAACCGAGTTGGCGAAGGTTTAAAAGGATACCAAACATCGTATTTCTCGGATTTCAACATGAGTCCGTTGATGTTGTTTTGATGAAGAATGGAGATGAAGCTCTTGTCCGTATGAGAAATGAACTTTCTGTTGGGCTCTCCGTTAGGGAGTCTTCTGTATTTCAGCAAACGAAGAAGGTAACGTGATCCACTTATGTGTTTCTCTGCATGCCTCTCTAGGTTATAGCTCTCGAACAGCATCCTTATCACCAGTTGCTCTAGTTCCGCTTGCATTTTCCCATATGCGTGAACAGTTTCACTATAACATCGTTGATAAATACATAGTAATTAAGAAAAGATTTTTTTTATTGTGTTATATTATTTGATAAAATATACTATAATAATACCAGAAATGGTCATTGTCATGATGATTAGGCCACATGAGACGTGAGAATCGGCGGCACTGTTGGATATCGTTGACTTGGTCAATACCGAGACCCTCGTGAACGGGATTGCCATCGGAGATCATGGTGATGTAGCCGTGACCGGCCTTGTGGTTCTCGTTCTTCAGCTTGACTTCTGGAGGAAGATCCAGAAGTTCCTTGGCGGCATCCAAAATCGACTGGTGGAGTTCTGTTGGAAATCTGTTGTACTCTGCCACAAACCATCCATGGTGCTCCATGGCTTCACGGACGCTGTCTCTCGTCGATATCCAGAGCTCTGTGTCCGGTTTCAGGTTCTTGTCTGAGAGGTTGATGATCGGAAGCTCACTAGTTTCATTTCCACCCATTTAACTACCCCAAGTATAATCAGTACACTAAAATTATAACTATCCTATCAGAAATGAATTAGAAAAACTATACAATGTAACAAAATGGTGTAGTATTGTTCATAATGTTTATCTATCGAGATCGGGAAATTTTCTAGTTAACTTTTGTACGACATATGTAGATATCTATGTTGTGTTTATATTGGCATTGAAATATGCTTCAGAGTCAGTTTGTGTAGAAATCATAGATGCGTTTCGTTGGCATTTTGTCTGAATCAATTTTAAATTCCTCATGACGCTAGAAATATACACACGTACCAACTACCAAGTGACTCTTCTGCATTATTGGGCTAAGGGCCTTCTCAAGTTAATTCAACCAAAGCCCATTATCTTATTTTCGGACCGAGTGACGACTAAACTAACTAACTGGTCGGGATTGTTGAGTTTGACATTTCCCAATTTCTCAACTGTACTGTACCTTTGACTTTCTAAGCCGCCGACGTTGACCACCGTCGCTTTCCCTCACTTATTGTTTCCTTCTATTTTCCTTAAGGTTGAATTTTGGTACAGATAAGCATAAGATCGACGGTCTTCGCTTTCCCTTTCCCCAAATATTAACATTTCTTCTCTCACCGGGAAATTACAGAGAGATGTGGTGGCAATGGCGGCGGCGGCTGTGGTCAGCCCCTCTCCTTCTTATCCTGATCGTCACTTCTCTTCTCCCTTCCTCTTCCGCCGTTGATTTTCTCTACAATTCCTTCAGCTCCGCAACCAACAGAAGCGACGTCATCCTCATCCAAGATTCCCGCGTAGACTCCACCGTGATCCGCCTCGTCAACGACTCCCACCAGTACTCCTTCGGCCGCGTTTTCTACCCCCAAAAGCTTTCAATTATACCCGATCCAAGCCGAAACCCGACCCGACTCTCCTCTTTCTCCACCTCCTTCGTCTTCTCCGTTCTCCCTGACATATCCACCAGCCCTGGTTTCGGCCTCTGCTTCGTCCTCTCCAATTCCACTTCTCCCCCAGGCGCAATCGCCAGCCAATACTTCGGTCTCTTCACCAATGCCACCGCCCGATTCACCGCTCCTCTCCTCGCCGTCGAGTTCGACACCGGTCAGAACCCCGAATTCAACGACATCGACGGCAACCATATCGGAATCGACCTTAACAACATCGAATCCACCAAATCCGAAACCGCCGGCTACTACGATTCCGTTAACGGAAGCTTCGTACCCTTCAACATGCGTAACGGGCAGAACGTCCACGCTTGGATCGATTTCGACGGTCCCAATTTCGAGATCAACGTCTCGATCGCCCCCGCCGGTGTTCCTCGACCTCGCCGTCCTACTCTCACCTTCCGTGATCCGGTGATCGCGAATTATGTATCCGCCGATATGTTTGTTGGCTTCTCCGCCTCCAAAACGACTTGGGTTGAAGCTCGGAGAATTCTGGCTTGGAGCTTGAGTGACACCGGAGCTCATCGAGAGATCAACACAACGAATTTGCCGGTTTTCTTACTGGAATCCACGTCTTCTTCCCTCTCAACCGGAGCAATCGCCGGGATCGTCGTCGGTTGTGTTGTATTCATCGGTCTAATTGGATTTGGGGGTTTCCTATTGTGGAGGAAACTAATGGCGGAGGAGGAAGAAGATGAGATCGAGGATTGGGAATTGGAGTTTTGGCCTCACCGTTTCAGCTACGAGGAGCTTGCCACCGCGACGGACGTCTTCTCCAACGATCGTCTTCTCGGATCCGGCGGATTCGGGAAAGTTTACAGAGGGATTTTGACGAACAACAGCGAGATCGCAGTCAAATGCGTGAACCACGATTCGAAGCAAGGGCTGAGAGAATTCATGGCGGAAATCGAGAGCATGGGTCGGCTTCAGCATAAGAATCTGGTTCAAATGCGAGGATGGTGTCGCCGGAAAAACGAGCTGATGCTAGTCTACGACTACATGCCAAACGGGAGCCTGAATCAATGGATCTTTGACGATCCCAAAGAGCCAATGCCGTGGCGGCGGAGGCGACAGGTGATCAACGACGTAGCGGAAGGGCTTAATTATCTCCACCATGGATGGGACCAAGTGGTGATCCACCGAGATATCAAATCGAGCAACATCCTTTTGGATTCCGAGATGCGAGGGAGGCTCGGGGACTTCGGGCTCGCGAAGCTGTACGAGCACGGTGGAGCACCGAACACGACCCGGGTGGTGGGGACGCTCGGGTATCTGGCGCCGGAGCTGGCGTCTGCGTCGGCTCCGACAGAGGCGAGCGATGTTTACAGTTTTGGGGTGGTGGTGCTGGAGGTGGTTTGTGGGAGGAGACCGATAGAGTACGCGGAGGAGGAAGATATGGTGCTTGTGGATTGGGTTAGGGATTTGTACGGCGGAGGAAGGGTGGTTGATGCAGCTGACGAGAGAGTGGCGAGTGAGTGTGAGACGACGGAGGAGGTCGAGTTGTTGCTTAAACTAGGGCTGGCTTGTTGTCATCCTGATCCAGCTAAGCGACCGAATATGAGAGAAATCGTCTCACTCTTGATTGGCTCGCCACCGGAGGATTTGTTGAGTGGACTCACGCCGGTAGCCGCCGACTCTGCCTCTGCACACGCCTGAGTAGTTTTTGCTGTTTTTGTGATGAACATAAGTAAATGTTGGAGACTGACCATAAGTTGCATGCTGGTCGATGGGCCTTTAGGCCATTATTATTTAAAGGCCTATTTTAGATGCAATGTCATTCCCAAATCCCAATCGAGCATGGAAGAAGAATCGTCCAAGAACCTACGTCCGTAGCACGGAAGCTTCGTCCGATGACCGCTTCCCGCTTCGGAATCGGAATCGGAAGCTCTCGGAAGCTTTCGGAAGCTCGCTTCCATGATACGCTTCCTAAAAAACCTCTTTAAAAACGTTTTGGAAGCTTGCAATTCCGTTTTGGAAGCTTACGCTTCCGTTTAAAAATATGATATCTTAAATAATTATGAATACTTTTATATGTTTATGATTTTATAAGTTTTATAAAAATGAAAAATTAATATACCATGTATTTAATTTGGCATTCACAAATTAAAGACTAATTTTAATCTATTATCTGTCTATAAAAAAATTGTTTGGAAAAATTATTACAAATAAAATGAGAATAATTCTTTTGATTAGAAAAATGCGATTTCAATTTAGTGATCTTTCTTTAATAACATAGATATAAGATTATTTTACATGGAATTAGAGAATAACGAAATAAGAAACTAAAATTGGTTTTTGATTTGAATTATTATTAATTGAATTATATAAAATTGATATATTTGATTTATGCTATATACATATATATATATATATATATAGACGCTTCCAACACGTACCCGCTTCCTAATTTTTTTAAAAATATCGCTTCTGCGCTTCCAAACGCTTCCGCTTCCGCGTACCCGCTTCTGATTCCATGCAGCTTAGGGCCGCAAGAACACTATTTATAGGGGTGTTGCATTTGGTTTTTGGATTCGGTTCAATTTTTTCAGATATTGGAAAATAGGTTCGAAGTTCGAACTATAAGTCTATTAACGAAACATTTCGTTTTTTTTGTGTGGATTTGAATAGGAAATCTAATAAATTAAGTATTACAAATTTTTGTATATTTTGTATCTATATAATTAAAGTATATTTTTTTGTGAAGTTAGCTCTTCATTTTATATAAGTTTAGTTTAAGCTTGATTTGGGTTCGGTTTGAGTTCAACTATTAGGTGTACAAATTTTTGGAGGAAGTTAACCAAGACCAATTTGAAAAGAGTAAGAATATGAAAACTTCCAAGAATCTGGTCGTCATAGGAGTTTTGAGGAAGTTAAAGAAGACCAACTTTCAATTCATCTTTGTTAATTCCAGTCAAATTAGAATCTTCGACATAAGGTCTTGTGTATATCATAATTACGCTTCTCAGTCTATTAATTAAGTAGTAACCAGGCAAGCCATGAATATAAGGATATTAAAATGGTAAACGTGTGTTAGAAAAACATAAAAGAAATAGCTTCAAGTTAACGTAACCATACTCTCTGGTATTAAATTCCAGCACATTAACATTAATTATCAGAATGCAGGTTTAGTTCTAAGATACCAAAAAAATATAACAATAAAACATTTAAATAAAGAAGAAGATAAAAGTCCAAGCGGGTAGAATTTTCTCATTAAATAATGGCGGTTGAGGAACATGGGCTATGCTAAATTGCTAATGGCCTAATGCTAAGGCAAATTAATGAGAATCGTCAACGTCTAAACTCACTATTTGGTCTCTACATTCGTATATCTCTCACATAACTATTTACATATTTTTATTGTCGTTCTTAAAAATTTAAATCTATCCTTTTTTCAGACAAAAAATGTTATTTATGATTATTCTATATCCTAGCTACTTCTACCAATTACCAGAAGTGTTAGTTAAATGTAGCATGTCATAAATCTTAGAACCAACGGTAAAGTATTTGATGATGTAGTATCTGTAACCTAACAACTTTTAAATTCTCAATCCTTTTAAAACAAATTTTAATTATGGTGGTTGAACCCTGTGTTTTTTTTTTTTTTATTTTGTAAAGAACTTCGTACCCAAAATTTAAGTTTTATAGTTGTGTATTTATAAGGGTGACAAAGACAACAAAAAAACCGTCCAATTGATGCATAACAGCATCAACAAGATTATTTTTCAACCTTTAGATATTCAGTTCACACCGTGCTGTGATTCTAGAAAAAAAAAATGGTTTAGACATTAGTTAATTAATGTTTAGACTTCTAGAATTCCGACAGAGTCACAGCTGACGTAGTAGTCTTTTCTCTTTCCTACTTGTAAATTCAGAAAGCACGCAAGGAAAAAACGTAGGACGTGAGCTTCTTGGTCACGTTCCGTCTCTGATTTTTCCACTTTGGTGAATGAAGGGACATGCATGTGCTTAATCATGAATAGTGAAATCTCCTCTTCCATTTATGTATATATACGAGACCACAAAGCCTACATTAATGCTATCTTCCATTTCTTTGTATCTTTAATTTCTCATATTCTTTAATCCTTGAATCTTTTGATCTAACATAAATTAGAAACAAAAGAAGAGAAGAGAAAAAAGAGAAGGCTTTGAGTTCTTGGATTCAATAATCCGGGGAAAATGGAGGGAACTAGTTTTCAGAAAGCGAGTAACAGTATGAGAAGAAACTCCTCGGTGTGGAAGAGAGATTCAGGAGCAGAGATCTTCTCGAGGTCGTCTAGAGAAGAAGACGACGAAGAAGCTTTGAAATGGGCTGCTCTAGAGAAGCTTCCCACTTTCGATCGTCTCAGGAAAGGTATCCTCACGGCCTCACACGGCGGAGCCATCAACGAGATCGACATTCAGAAGCTTGGCTTTCAGGATACGAAAAAACTGCTCGAGAGGCTCATCAAAGTCGGTGACGACGAGCATGAGAAGCTCCTCTGGAAACTCAAGAACCGTATCGATAGGTAAAGAAACAAGAAACAAAAACTTCTCTTTTTAGATTAATTTCCACTAAAAACAGAGGAGCTCTGTTTTGTTTGATGTTTGTTTTGGAAACTATCGAAACAGAGAAGCTCTGTTTTATTTGATGTTCATTTTGGAAATTAAATTTAAATGGATTTAATTTGGTAAATGGCAGAGTTGGAATCGATCTTCCCACAATAGAAGTTCGGTTTGATCATTTAAAAGTCGAAGCAGAGGTTCATGTTGGAGGCAGAGCTTTACCAACGTTCGTTAATTTCATCTCCAATTTTGCAGATGTGAGAATCCTTTTATTTATTTTTACTCATTCATCCTTTTACAGTCAAACAAAAATCAATACGTAACAGTTTGTTTTTCGATAATTACAACAGAAGCTACTAAATACTCTGCACCTTACACCCAACCGGAAGAAGAAGTTCACTATACTCAACGACGTCAGCGGAATCGTCAAGCCCGGCAGGTGAATATTTCAGATTCCGTTAATCTTGTTAAAAAAAATTAATTGAAAAGTATTTGTTCAAGTACCTGAACTTGTTGACCACACTAAGACAAAAACAACTTTGAACTTCTTTAGGATGGCTCTGCTCTTGGGTCCTCCAAGTTCTGGTAAAACGACCCTCTTGCTTGCCTTGGCGGGAAAGCTTGATCATGAACTAAAGGTACATTATTTGTCTCTCTCTGTTTCAGATTCATGTTTAACTGTTTGATTTGAGTAAAAAAAAGAGGAATCAAATGTTAAATATCATTCTTGGCTCTGTAGGAAACTGGAAGAGTGACATATAATGGTCATGGAATGAATGAGTTTGTGCCACAGAGAACAGCTGCGTATATAGGTCAAAACGATGTTCATATCGGTGAAATGACTGTCCGGGAGACTTTTGCTTACGCAGCTCGCTTCCAAGGCGTTGGTTCACGTTATGGTGAGTTTTCTTTATAATCATTTTCTTGGTTTCAATTAACTCTCAAAGGATTTGATTTGGTGCATGTTCATTGACACTTGAATTTTTTTGTGGTGCATTAGATATGTTGACGGAATTGGCAAGAAGAGAGAAGGAAGCAAACATCAAACCTGACCCTGATGTCGATATCTTCATGAAGGTTAGTCATATTACTTCCTTAAAAGTTAACTTTTTAAGTGAAATTATGCAGAACCTAAACGATTGTGTTTTAACTAATAAAACTTCATTATACCATTACAGGCGACGTCAACAGCAGGCGAAGAAACAAATGTGATGACAGACTATATCCTCAAGGTATAGTTCCATTCTAGCTTTATTATAACAGAATTAGTCTTATATTTGAAAGCATCTAAGCCCTTTTGTAAATTCTACAGATCTTAGGGCTTGAGATCTGCGCAGACACTATGGTCGGAGATGATATGTTGAGAGGTATCTCCGGAGGACAAAAGAAGCGTGTCACTACTGGTAAGACTTTGAGCAAATTATGTATGAATAATCATTTTTCATGATTACATTGTTTTTGTTTTGATATTGATGTGGAGTGTGTGTATCTATCATCTGTGTGTAGGTGAAATGCTTGTTGGACCGTCTAGGGCTCTGTTTATGGACGAGATATCAACTGGTTTAGATAGCTCAACAACGTACCAGATAGTGAACTCCTTGAGAAACTATGTTCATATCTTCAACGGGACAGCTCTGATCTCTCTCCTTCAGCCTGCGCCGGAGACATTCAATCTCTTCGATGATATCATTCTCATTGCAGAAGGTGAGATCATCTACGAGGGCCCTCGTGATCATGTCGTTGAGTTCTTTGAGACCATGGGATTCAAATGTCCTCCAAGAAAAGGAGTCGCTGATTTCCTTCAAGAAGTAAGTCTTTGTTTCATTAAGAAGTGAGTCTTTTGTTCCACGTCTCAATAGTACTAAAACAAGCACTACTTTTTTTCAGGTGACATCAAAGAAAGACCAAATGCAGTACTGGTCACGACCTGATGAGCCTTATAGGTTCATAAGAGTGAGAGAGTTCGCAGAGGCGTTTCAATCGTTTCATGTTGGGAGGAGACTCGGAGATGAGCTTGCTTTGCCCTTTGACAAGAAAAAGAGCCATCCGGCTGCTCTTACCACCAAGAAGTATGGAGTTGGGGTTAAAGAACTTCTCAAGACTAGCTTCTCTAG